AAAGAACAGATTGTGCACAGCCAACAATACAGCAAGTAGTTTCTAGGGAAGCATGGGCTCTAGAACCTTATAAAGAACAGATTGTGCACAGCCAACAATACAGCAAGTAGTTTCTAGGGAAGCATGGGCTCTAGAACCTTATAAAGACCGGATTGTGCACAGCCAACAATACAGCAAGTAGTTTCTAAACAAACATTATAGCAATATTTTGATTACTTTGATAATTGGAATAATTGAAAATGGTAATAATCAGAAAGCATAATTTAAATTAGTCAAATATATGACATTTGACTTTAAAAATTGAAGAAATAGAAAAGTCTACATACATTGCAAGATTTAGATAAAACTGTTACAGATATATTAGAAAATAATTTTAAGAATACAGCTAGCATTTTTCAAGCCAATGGCATGTACAAATTTTCCGCAAAAACGTTTTAACACTAATAAATATGCCTCAACATGTTTTCTATGTCTTACACCCTTTGTTTTTGATTCATTTATATATTTTCTCTAGATTGGCAGAATCACGCACACACCCAATGTTTTCAACAAACTTCAAGCCTGAGGAAATTGCCAAACTCACCAATTTTGTACAAAGTGCAGAAAAATCCTCGGAGAAAGATCAGTTTCTGAACGATCATAGTGATGAGTTGCTTACTCTCTAGTAACTGCTCTTCTTGCTAGTAGAATAACTCTAATATTGAAAGAAATGGGATAAATAACTATCTCATCCTCAAGAAGTTCAGAGATCACCACATAAAAATACTCTGAAAGTTCAATTGAGCCACGAGGACTAAACTTATTCTACAATGGTTGCTGCCACCACAAAGTGTTTCCATACTCAACCTGTTAAGAAGTTGTTACCATATATTTTTCTGCCTAGAAAGACTTATTTATATACATTAAATGAACTAACCAGGCTTTCCACTCTCACAAACTTGACTGCTTCTCACTGTTAACCACACATTTTTTTTTTTTAATATTGTTTCTGTTATTGTTCTGCTGGTCTATTTCCATTGAATTGTTTTAATCATGTGGCCTTCATGAATGTTGCATTTCTCCAGAGAAGTAATATAAACAGTAAACGTACTTAACTTGGTGCTCATATACGTCACCTCCATACTTTCCTGAGTTGTTAATAAATGTGCAATATTGTGCAAATTAGGCCTACTGTGTTCTGCATTCCATACACCAGTACAGATTCTGTTAACAATAGGTTTACAGTGAGTTTGTACTCATGCACAATTCTAATGATAAAAACATAAAATTGTTCATTATATTCCTCACGTCTAAAGTTTTCATTTCCTTACAATATCAAGTTTTTCAGTGTAAGGAAAAATGATAGAGTTCACTTACATTTATAAATACTGTATGATGATCTCAACTTCTCCATGTAAATTAGAATTTGAAATATATATACACTACACAGATTTTATATCAAAACAGCATCTGAGTATTCTCTACTGTTTCACTATGTTATACAAGTAGAGTAAAACAGTCCAGATTAAGTTAACAGTATTTCTGTCTTTTAACACGTACATCAGTCCACTTTATTTAAATAACATTTCTACACTGTTTAACAACTGTGTCATCAAGTTTAGTATATCAATATTTCTATATTGTTCAACAACTGTATCATCTACTTTAGTATAACAATATTTCTATATTGTTTAACAACTGTATCATCTACTTTAGTATAACAATGTTTGTGTATTGTTTAACAACTGTATCATCTAGTTTAGTATATCAATATTTCTATATTGTTCAACAACTGTATCATCTACTTTAGAATAACAATATTTCTATATTGTTTAACAACTGTATCATCTAGTTTAGTATAACAATATTTCTATATTGTTTAACAACTGTATCATCTAGTTTAGTATAACAATGTTTCTATATTGTTTAACAACTGTATCATCTACTTTAGTATAACAATGTTTCTATATTGTTTAACAACTGTATCATCTACTTTAGTATAACAATGTTTGTGTATTGTTTAACAACTGTATCATCTACTTTAGTATAACAATGTTTGTGTATTGTTTAACAACTGTATCATCTACTTTAGTATAACAATGTTTGTG